ATAGGGTCGCTATGAGTCATAAGTGACTCGATGGCACATAACAACAACAACAACAACATGTTTTATTGCCTCTGAAAACTTGCTGGAGGGTCATGTGTCAGTTCTGACTTGATGGCACACAACAACAATCACCTACCCCAGCTGGTCCCAGATCAAAGTGAGCCAGTGGACAAGTAAGGATCTTTCTGCTCATTGGTTAAACTTTAAGGAGCTCTGACGGCCTAGTGGGAAAGGAGTTGTGTTTCAAATCCACCAGCTGCTTTGCAAGAGAAAGATGGGAAGTCTCCTCCCCCGCTGCATGCATCCTCTGAACTCCCCCCTGGAGGATCAGCTATGAGTCAGTTCAGACTCCACAGCCAGGAGTTGTTGCTGAGGTTAAACTGTGAACCACAGGTTAGGCCAATTTTAGACTTCCCCTTTTGGTGCCACCCGCCACACCCTCGCCATTCTAGCCATCTCTCCTGAATGCCAAGGCCAAGGGCTTTGCCTTGGACACCAGGCAAATTGTTAGCAGAGATGAAGCTATTTCATGAAAAGCATCTTATGAAGTTTTTCACCCTTTCAAGAGCATTTGCTATTTTGATTTGGTGCCAAAGGAAAGACTTACTAATGGTGGAATCTTAGACACAAAGAGAGCAGAGCTTTTGCCTTCCTGACCATCTTAAGATTCTAGTTTCACTCCCTGTGAACCTAGTTCCTCTTCCTTATTCTTCAGCAGCCCTCCCTCTCTGCCACGTCCTCACATACGCTGACTGTACCAAGGCCCGGGGCATCTTTGCCTGCTGGAACCAGGAATCCCTGTGGGGTCTCTTCCGGATCACGCTCCCCATGGCAATCAACACAAGCAGCGCAAGTGGCAGCAGCACCAGAAATGGCCAGTGGAGAACTGAGGAAGGAAAAGTCTCATTAGAATCATAACAACAGCTCCCATCCTGCATACATGCCGGGCTGAGAGCATCACAGACACTATCCTAGTCCACTCTCCTTAGAACAAGTCCATTCCCCAGGCGTCAGAGAGCAGTGGTGGGTCAGTGGTGGAAATCGTACCTTCCTGAAAGGGGACCCAAATTCACCTCCCAGTCATGCACCTCAAGTGCAGCCCCCACCATCCGTCAGTGGAGGTGTGAGTGTGGAAAAGGTTTGAGCAGACATTCCAGACTAAGAGGACAGGTTTAGTGCCCTTCTTCTAAAAATGGACTTTTGGGTCACAATGCTCAGTTCCATATTCTATCAAGAGGATGGTGCAGAACCACGCAGCGTTTTGTCCCATTTGTGCAAGGGGTCGTCACAGGCTGGGGGCCAAGGTGACAGAAGCAAACAAGCACAGATTGTAGAAACCAGGGCTCAGGAAGGCATGTCGACTGTGCAATGACACACACTGAGTGTAGCACAGGTGGGATTTTAACCCAGAAGTGCCTGTCTCTGAACTCACACCTTAAGATTACATATGAGTACCAAATTACGTACTGACTACCATATTACAGAGCTTCTGGGTCAAGAGGAGAGTGCCCCACTTTTGCACTACTGTGTACTCACCTGGGGCCTCTAGGAAGAAGCAGCTGGTCTTCGAGAACTCACTGTACCTAGGGGAGGTGAAAGTGTAGATGGTCCTGGCGCTGAGGCAGTGCTGTCCACCTGTGGCTGGTTGGAGGGGGATCTGAACTGGCTGGCCATAGGGAATGCCTGCACATGTTGTCTGTTTGGAGAAAGGTAGCTAGCGTCAGCAGGCAAGGTATAACTGGGGTCCCCAACCATTTTTTACTTCCCCCCTGCATTAGCAAGCAACCCTGAGGGAATAATTCCCGACATTACCTGGTTTTTCAATTGAGTGTTGAAGGAAAAGGCTGCCTGCATTCCAAAGAAATTCTGCTTGTCAGGGTTCCTCCCATGTGAACCCCTACCAAGGCCCCTGGTCCTGTCCTCCCCTTTGCTGCCTCATATTGAGGGGCAGAGTCCCCAGGCTTCTATTTCAGGCTCCGCTCTACAGAGAGGTCATGTAGGTAGAGGCTTGTCCTGTTCAGTATGAAAGCTCTGTCCTACACAGTAGCCACTGACCACAAATGGCTATCAAGCATTTGAAATGAGGCTGAGAGTGTAGAATACAGATCAGATTTCAAAGAATAAATGAAAAACCGCTAAGTCAGCCCAGTAATTTTTATATTAAATACGCTGATGGGTCAGATGGATCTTGGCAGAAAGCAGAGAATACCAGAAGAAGGTCTTTGTTTCACTGACTATGCTAAGGTTTTTGACTGTGTGGATTACAATAAATTGTGGCTAACCTTGAGGAAAATGGGAAGCTCAGAACACTTGATTGTGCTTATACAAACCTATACTTGGACCAACCCTGCTTGCTGAAACTGAGCAGGACCTGAAGCGCTTGCTGCAGAGGGTCAAGGACTGCAGCCCTCAATATGGATTGAGGCTCACTATCAAGAAGACAAAGATTCTCACCACTGGGCCAGTTGGCAGCATCAGGATGGATGGTAAGAGATAAAGATTGTAATAGCTTTAGTTTGCTTGGCTCCACAGTCAACACTCTTGGCACCACTAGCCAGGAAATTAAAAGATGTATTGTTATGGAAAAGTCTGCTGTTAGGGACCTCTCCAAAGTACTGAAGAGCAATGGTGTCACTCTGGAGACTAAGGTATGCCTGATACAGGCTATGGTCTTTGCAATCAGTTGCTATGTATCAGAGAGCTGGATAATGACTAGGGAGGATAGAAGGAGAATTGATGCCTTTGAGCTGTGGTGTTGGAGAAGAGTATTGAATATACTATGGACTGCTAAAAAAACTAACAGGTTCATCTTGGAGAAGTTTAACCAGGCTGCTCCTTGGAGGCAAGGATTCTGAAGTTTCATGAGACATACTTTGGACATGTTGTAGGCGGGACCAGTCCTTGGAGAAGGACGTCATGCTTGGGAGGGTGAAGGGACAGCACCGGAGAGGAAGACCCTCTATGAGGTGGATCGATTCAGTGATTGGGGTAATGGGGGTAGGTGTGTTGGAGACAGTGAGATTGGCACAGGACAGAGCGGGGGTTAGGGCTATTATACATAGGGTCACTACAGGTTGCAGGGGCCTTCACAGCACATAACAATAACAACAACATACTTGGACCAAGAAGCAGTTCCCAGAACAGAGAAAGGAAACACTACATGGTTCAAAATCAGGAAAGGAGTGTGTTAGGTATGCATCCTGTTCCATACCTTTTCAATCTATATGCAGAATAGATCACTAAGGAAGCAGGGCGTTATGAGGAGGAGTGTGGCATCAAGATTTGTGGAAGACTCATCAACAACCTATGATATGAAGATGACACAACCCTGCTTGCTGAAACTGAAGAAGACCTGAAGCACTTGCTGCAAAAGGCCAAGGACTGTGCTCTTCAATATGGATTGAAGCTCAACATCAAGAAGACAAAGATTCACCACAACAAGATAAAGTTAAACAACCCAATTGCAAAACGGGCACAGGATATGAACAGACACTTCACCAAAGAAGACATTCAGATGGTGAACAAACACATGAAGAAATGGTCAAAATCCCTAGCTCTAAGAGATATGCAAATCAAAACAACTATGAGATATCATCTCACCCCAGTAACAAGAGCAAAATTCAACAGAGCAGCAAATAATAAATGCTGGTGAGGTTGGGGGAAACTGGAACCCTTATTCACTGTTGGTAGGAGTACAAAATGGTGCAGCCACTCTGGAAGGTAGTATGGAACTTTCTCAAAAAGTTGGAAATAGGAAGGTAGTATGGAACTTTCTCAAAAGGTTGGAAATAGAAATGCCATTTGACCCAGCAATTCTACTACTGGGGATATACTCTAAAGAAACCAGAACTGCCACCCAAGCACATATATGCACAGATAAATGTTTATTGTTGCTTTGTTCACAATAGCAAAGAGTTGGAAACAACCCAAGTGCCCATCAACAATGAATGGATAGAGAAGCTGTGGTATACATAATGCAATATTATGCAACACTGAAAAACAATGAACTCATGAAATATTATATAAAATGGGTGACAGTGGAGGACATTAGCTGAGTAAAATATCTCAGTCACAAAAGGACAAATACTGCATAATGCTACTGTTATAAAACAGGACTGACATGGGGTCGGGGAAAACTAAGAAAAGAGGGGATAAATAATGTACACAGCACTGAAACAGATGACGGGGAGAACTGTAGGGATTATTGGCATGACAAGAGTCCAGAATAAGAGCTGCACAGTAAAATGGACTGAGGAGAGGGGAAGACTGTAAAACAAAGATTTTTTTTCCCCCAAGAGAAAAGTGAACTGGGGGCTGGGGGGCAGGGAGGAAAATGTGCAACTTTTCATTAAAATCTCAATAAAAAAAAAGACAAAGATTCTCACCACTGGGCACATTGGCAGACCATAATAAATGGAAATGAGATTGAGGTTGTTGAAATTACACCTTGCTCGGATCCACAATCAACACTCCTAATACCAGCAGTCAGGAAATCAAAAGACGAATTGCATTGGGAAAATCTGCTGTCATGGACCTCTCCAGAGTGCTGAAGAGCAACAATGTCAGTCTAGATACAAAGGTGTGCCTAATCCAGGCCTTGGTCTTCTCAATTACTTGTTATCTTTCAGAGAGTTGGACAATGACTAAGGATGACAGAAGAATAGATGCGTTTGAGTTGTTGTGCTGGAGAAGAGTCTTGGACATACCATGGACTGAGAAGTAAACAAATAGGTCTGTCTTAGAGAGGGTGAAACCAAGTCTCTCCTTGGAGGTTAGGCTTTTGAAGCTCTGCCTCACTTACTTTGGGCACGTGGCCAGGAGAGATTGGCCCTCGGAGAAGGACATCATACTTGGAAGGGTGGATGGACAACGCAGGAGAGGAAGACCCTAGAGTAACTAGGGCAACAAGGACTGGTGTGTTGGAATTAATGAGACTGGCTCAGGACAAGGAATGGTTCAGAGTTGCTATACATAGGGTTGCTAAACATCACAGGAGACTCAATGGCACCTAACAACAATAACATACTATGACTGGTTTGGAAGTAGGAGTGGCATCGTCTTCCTAAACAACATGCCTCCAGAAACTCTATGAACTTTGAATGTTGATAGTTGCAGAGGGGCTTCAGTTCTTTTTTTCATAGGGTCACTATGAGTCATGCTCGACTTGAAGACAATCAACAACAACAATTAAGATTAAGCCATCTGTTTCCTTTAGCTTCAGTTAATGTGGTTACTGGTGTTGTTCGGAGAGGTGGAGTCATCTATGAACCTTGTCCTATCCTCTACCCTCATCACATCTCCAGCATCTCAAGACCATGATAATCCATCTCGAGACTGTGATAATCCATCTCGTTGAAGGTCTTTCTCTGATCCTCCTCCTTTCCCAGCATGAGGTCTTGTTCCAAAGAGGAGCCCCTTCTTACAACATGTCAAAAGTATGTGAAATGAAGCACTCTGGTTGCATTTCCTCCAAAACAGCTTGCTTTGTTCTTTTGGCAATCCATTCAATACACTTCTCTAACACCACAATTCAAAGGTATTGAGTCTTGTTTGGACTTCCCTATTCATTGTTTTTGTTATTGTATGCTGTTGAGTTAGAACCAACTCATAGCTGATCCTCTAGCAAAGTAAAAGAGCTGAAGAGAGGATTTCAAAGATAGCTTGAGAAGGCAAAGAGAAGTATTATAATGGAATGTGCAGGGAGCTGGAATTGGAGAATAAAAAGGGAATAACTTGCTTTGCATTTCTCAACCTAAGAAAACGGAAAAAACAAATTTAAGCCTTGAGTCAAAATACTGAAAGATTGTATGGGCAATATGTTGAAAGAGTCAGGAAGCATCAAAAGAAGATGGAGATAATACAGAGTCACTGTATGAAAATAATTGGTCAACACTGACATATTTCAGAGAGTATCAGGTCATAAAGCACCAATGGCAATGAAAGAGGAAATTGAAACTGCACTGAAGGCATTGGCAAAAAACAAGGCCTCAGGTATTGATGCGATACCAACTGACATGTTTCAACTAACAGATGCAGCCTTGGATGCACTTATCAGTATATGCCAGGCAACTTGGAGGAGAGCTGTCTGGCTGATTGACTGGAAGAGATCCATATTTTTACCCCATTCCCAAGAAAGGTGATCCAATAGAATGTGAGGAGCAATGCCAATAATATCACATGTAAGGAGAAAACTACTGAAGCTCATTTAAAAATTGCTAGAATAGTAAATAGATAGGGAACTGCCAGAAGTTCAAGCAGGATTTAAAAGAGGCCATGACACTAGGGATATCATTACTGATGTTAGATAGATCCTGGCTGACAGTAAAGAATACCAGAAGAACATCTATTTGTGCTTTATTGACTATGTAAAGGCATTTGACTGTGTAGATCATAATATGTTATGGCTAACATTGAGGAGAATGGGAATCCCAGCACATTTAATTGCACTCATGCAAAACCTAGACCTTGACCAAGATGCTGTTGTGTGAAGAGAGCAGGGGAACATTACATAGTTTAAAATTAAGAAAGGACTGCATCAGGGTTGTATCTTCTTTCCATACTTATTCAATCTGTATGCTGAACAAATTATCCAGGAAGTTGAACTCTAGAAAGAATTATGCAGGTGACATAACCTTACTTGCTGGTGAAAGTGAGGAGGACTTGACGCATTTGTTGCAGAAGATCAAAGAATATAAC